ACAGCGAGAAACAGATTACTTTATGGCTAGTAGAAACTTTAGTAGTGAGCCAATGTTCCCCTGAAAAAATAGTTGTTTTATACAATACCCATACAATTGTAGATATTAAGTAGAAACAAACATTAAATACTTTGATAACTCAGTAGTACACTTTGACAGAAAGGTAACTGGTAACAATGCTGCAATTCATGGTGTGTTTGTGTACTTTGATAATTTTAAGTAGATTTTTTCATGATGCAACCTATTCTGATTTACTATATGCACAGGATAATGTACTTTTAACATAGATACAATTACTCAGCACACTGAGTGCTAATGTACATTTGATATAAATAGGATTACTCAGTGTACTGAATAATGTATCATGCTAAACAAGCTAAGTCCTTTTAGCTGCACCAACATCATGCCTTGCTGGGATCAATTCGCTATGAGTTTATTTATCTGTATGTGATTAGGCAGCTTATGATAAATATTCCCATTTATAGTAATGGTTGAAGTTAGTAATGTCAGCTTTGCTACTATGACAAGAATGCATCGACTACTGTATTGAATATATACAATTGCTTAATGATCAAAAGATTTTTAAACTTAACAGACTTGCTGATTGTTTAACTTTGTTTTTATGAGGAAATCGATGGCATGTTCTGGCAAATCCTAAGTTCTCATTTCCAATTTTTTGTGACATTTAGCTCCTTGTTTCTTATTAGACTTTGCTAAAACATGAATATTTTCCTCTCGGCATCTGCATTTTCATGACACTGATTGTCATCTACCCCTGGCAGGTGACAAAAGTTTGGGAGTGGCCTGTAGCATTTCTTCTTAAGCTCACAATACCATCAACGCTTCCTACTGAATGGAACAAATTTTATGTTTGTGCAAACATCTGTCTATGTCCTCTCCTACTCCTGTATTCTTTCAGTTCATTCATTCCATTTGATAGCCGAATAGTATTTCTTCTCCCTCAAAGTCGTTTCCCCATCTGGTCCGTGGTGCTTTTCGTGAGCATTTCTTTAGCCCTGTCCCACTTCATTTTTGAGAAAGAAGCCCCAATAACTGAAAACATTGCAAGCACCACAATTTCCTTTGTAATGAGTGTCTTCTGGATCTCAACCATGGCTGGAGAGCTCCTGAACTGCCTTGCAGCAATCGGAGTCATTATGGATTTCCCTCCAGCTATACTTGGCATGACGGTCTTGGCTTGGGGGAATTCGGTGGGTGACCTCGTTGCTGATGTAGCTTTGGCAAAGTCTGGCCAGCCGACAATAGCCATTGCTGGCTGCTTTGCTGGTCCAATGTTCAATATGCTGGTTGGACTGGGAACTGCACTTGTAATACAAACAGCCAGGGTGTACCCCAAAGCTTATGTACTCGAATTCCATGTTGGAATTGTTGTTGCATTTGTATTTCTTCTTTTGAGCCTGATGGGCACCCTGTTGATGGTCACCTGGACTAGGTTTCGGGTTCCCAGGTTTTGGGGTTACTGCCTTATGGGGCTTTACATCTTGTTTACAGTAGTGAGTATAGCTATAGCGAGCTCTTCTGGATGATACATATTTTTATACATAAATAGCAGCTAGTCGTTTGCAGTATATATAAGTGTTTGCAATTTTTCCAGTTGCTGCAGAGCAATGGTTCATTTCGATGGGGATGGTTCACGAGGTGCAAGATGCCTCCAGGCTGCAATACAACTTCTTATCTTGGCAGCTGATGCATACAGCCCTTCACACTGAATTGGCTTGTACTGGTCTGGCATGTTCCTGTGGATTCTTCTGTACCTTCATTTTACGAGTTCATGAGTTCAGGCCAGAGGGGAGATCTTGCTGGCGATGTGCATCAGTGCATGCACTGTCTACTCGGTTCTTTTGGTTGAATCACTGCATGTGCGGATGTGCCGCAGCGTACACAAGATATCACTGGATCTCTTTCCTGTGGCCATGTTTTATTTTTCTCGAGCGGTTAGCCTGCCGTCGACGTTTTATATAAAGAAAAAGAAAAAGGACCTCATTTTTAAAAGGAAAATGGGATTATGGCAGAGAAGTAACTCAAAGAAGAGGACCCTGCAACCCCCGAAGGAGACCTCCAGCGATAGAGTCGTAGAGGCATATGCATTCGCTCCGCTCTCTTGCACGCGTCACTTCTCTTCTCCATATCTATCCATCGACCATCGCAGGCTACTTCCCGGTACAGTTCCCCTCTCCTGATCTCCTCTAGCTCATGCCATAGTCGCCACTCGCCACTGCTGCAATGGCTACTGAAAAACTACCAATGCCACAGGCCAAAAACCAAAAAGTATAGCACAGGTACACTCGAAGGATCGACGCGAGGTGAGGAAGTTACCGATGCAACGGACCAAAAGCCAAAATCTAACCCCGCTCGCACCAGCTATGCACCCTTCGTTTCTATACGCTCGACGGACTCGACGCCCGGGACCCGGCCGAGAACGGGCGAACAACGATCGGATTCAGGATGTCTCGGGGGGTCGGAGAGAATTAGTGCTGGTTTGGTTTGTGGCCTAAATTAGTCTTACCAATTTTTGTCAATGTCAAATTTTGATAACTTTTGGCATAGCTAATTTTGGCAAAGGTAAAATTGTGTTTGGATTAAAGCCAAAATAGTCTAAATTAACCGTTGAAATGGCCTATTTTCTTAGTCATGCCAAAATTTGGCTCCAAACCAAATAGACAATAAATAATATTGAAATTGCCAAATATTGGTAAGGCCAATATAGGCCTCAAACCAAACCAACCCTTAAACTCCGCCTCTCCATCTGACCCACATAAGGGCAGGCCTACTTTACGTGGAGCAACCTGCATACGCGTGGGCCGGCCTTACTAGTTACTAGTCTAAGGCTTAATTCGGAGAGCGCTACGTGTCGGACGTATGGCGCGAGACGAAAAATCGGACGTCTCGCGCGACCGTCCGATCGATGCACAAGTGTGCTAGCCATCCATCATGCATGTATCAAGCCATCCATCATGCATGTATCAAACGAATTTTATACTATTTTTTCTCTTAAAATATTTATCCAAATCATAATCCAATTGCACCATTAAATCCGTTGCAATTAAATCTTTAAAACAAGACAACACATGAATATAATCCGATGAAAATAATTAGCTTATTATTGAATTATTTTTAAATGTTGCACGCTGTTGCGCTGAGTATATTGTAATTGTTTCACTAAGTAGATCGAAAATGTTTTATCGAACGTTGTTTTACCTTATATAAAAATAATGTTTCAGCGAATAGCGAAAGGATGTTTCAATTCACTACAACATTTGATCTATACGTAGTGAAACATCATGAGTACATTAGGTGAAACATTTTTAAATTAAAAAAAAATCGGACGGTCAAATGTTGCAGTTGACCAACAAGTGAAACATTATATTATATATATGGTGAAAAAAAAATTAGCAACTGGAACATTTAAATATTTTATGAAACATGATGAAAATGCACGTTGAAACATGTCGCTGTCACACATGAAACAACAAGTATTAACGGATTGAAACACATGTTTTTCTTTTATCAAAATATAATCAAGCGATATCTTATTATAAAAATTTAATTACAACGAATACAATGGTGTGATCGGATCATAGATTGAATAGGTAATTTAAGAGAAAAATCATTTTGAAGCTTGCTAAAATACATGCATGTATGCATGCATGAGGTGGAGAGAGAGTAGTAGTAGATAGTTTCAGGAATTTTGTGAAACACACTTAAGACACATATTGAAACATATCACTATTACGTATGAAACATTTTGTTTTAACGGTTTGAAACGTATGTTTTTGTTTTGACATAATATAATCATGTGATATCTTGTTGTAAAGATTTAATTGCAACGAATACAACAGTGTGATCAGTTCGTAAATTGGATAAGTAATTTAGGAGAAAAAATATTTGAAGAGAGGAGGAAAGAATGAAAAGAAACAACTAGGTATGTGCATGTCTGTTACATTACGACAAGGGTTCGTCTAATCCAACAGGGTGCTGATTTGCAGCATTTTTCTGACGTCAACAGAGAGAAAGGAGATATTAACGAGTAAGGATTGAGCTGGCCGTAGACGTCCGACGTTTTTCATCTGATCGGACGTTCGAAGAGAAGCATTTTCGGCTTAATTCACGATGGTTCATGGGGGTTCGGAGAATTAAACTCCGACCCCGCTGCAGCCTGCAGAAAACGTCCCAAAAGCCTCTCACTGAAGAGGCAAAAGCATCCATGGTACACTTCCATTGCCACTACCAGACTATATCTCACCTTTTTTTTATAAAAGGATTTTCATTAAAACCCAGCCTATACATCACATTAGATGTACACAACCAAAATTCAGAACAAAGCATTGAGGCTCACTCCCATTACATGAGACCAAACACACACGTACTAAAACAGCTTAGAGAGTCAATAAACCCCTGATACAAGAGCTAAGCTCCCCAACACATACAATCATTACTCAAAAGAGGAGTCTAATCACAACACCACTAGGCTTCGATCCTCATTCTGTAGTTCCATCCATACATGGAGAAGAACTCAAGGACTGTTAGTCCCAACCTCTTGCAATATTCGTTTACCATGTTGCTATCATCTTCCTTAAGAAGCACAAATCAAAGCCTTGCCCAATATGAGCATCTGAAAATCACCTCTCAGCCTCACGCCGCCGCAAAGACGTATGCATCTACCGTCTACTTTCTCTATCTTAGAAAAAAAAATCAACTTCTAAATACGTTGGATACGATCGGACGTTGTTGATTTTTTTTATGTTACCAATGCATTCTAGTAAAAAAAAAATGGAATGGCCAAAACCAACATCTACCCACCAGCGATGCAGCCATCGATCTCTGGCTGCCATCGAGGAGTATACTGTATACTCGATACTCGAGAGACTCTGCCAGCTGCCATGATGTGCGTGTGCTGTGCCCGGACGTGGCTGCACATAAACAGCTTCCAGTCCAGATCGTCCTGGGAGGTCGGAGAATTGAACTCCGAACCCCCGCTCGGCCCATCCATGGGCCTTCCTAACATAATACGCCTGGGCCTACAAGCCAAAGGCACAACTCGCATCCCACGCCCCCATGGCCCACAAACCACCACAAAGAAAAGATCGGCCGCATCGGGCCATCGCCGCATCGATCGCCTTCCGCGCCGCCACGCCGCAGCGGCGGACTGACGACGCCGTCCGCCGCGCTCCGGCGTCCCGCTCGCCGCCGGCCTTCTACCATGACGATCCGCAGGTACACGGCGCCCGCTGACCCTAGCCCGCACTAGCAGCCACAAGCGGAGACAGCTCTGCCGCACTCACACGGTCCTGAAATCCTGATGAGACCTTGTATGATGAACTTTTTTTTTTAGCCCTAGATATGCAGCGTGCCTGGAGGTGTAGATCACACGCAACGCAAGTCCCAACGGCTAGGCTCGATGATGAGATGCTTCTGTTTCTTTCCCGATTCACAGGTTAAACTCTCTTCATTCCTCTTATTGTTTTTTTTTAAAAAAATTAATTCAAATCATCAGGGCACCCTGTAACTACGCGTTGATCAAACATTGATTTGACTCCAGCCATGAAGATGAAATCCCCCTTCATCAGATTCAGAATCTATCAACTTTACCTCGCGATTAGCCGATTACTACTGCAATCCTGGTACGTGGAGTTTCACCTTTATGCCTACTTTAATTGTTCAATCAAGCAGGATAGTTGAGGTAGACACACTCACACTGACATCATCCTGCACCTGCATGCATGGGTTCCTGATATTTCTGCCTAGAATTCTAGCAGCATAACTTTCTCTACTCCCAGTTGAAGCTGGTCTTGTCCCACCATATGTGTGTGTGCGTTTCTGCGAAGCAAAAACGAATCTAAACAACTGGTTTGGTATGGTGGTATCCAATTAGAAATGCTCTGAAGAAATGAACCAGCTGAAACCTTGTCTGGTTTGGGAGACTTTGGTTTCGAAACTGTGGGCACAAACCATTCCTGAACTGTTCCTTCGAGATGCTTCCAATTCGTATTAAGAACGAAACCAAAGATTCACATTAACATGAATTGGTATAATTATATGCCCAAAGCAATACTGCAACTTGGATTATTTGATGAATTGACACGCTGAAAAGTGTACTAGATTCATTGGCACCGTGTGGGTTGGCAAATTACAAAGCCAAGATTCTTTGCTTGCTTGCTTGCTTTTCTAGTAGTAATTCTTTGTGCTTCCCCTGATCCAGGCAATCGCTTTCGAGGCGATGGCCATTGAAATAATGTAGTGCAGTAACTTTAGGTATGCCTCTTGCCAACTTGCAGCTGCTATGTTTGCATAATTTTAGCTTAGATAAACTGATGTTGTATTAATTAGTTGTAGGATAATTTCAGTGGCTGTCATTCTCATGAAAGGGAAAGGGTGAAAACAATAATGTTTGATTCCTTTTCACAAATTACTACTAGTAGTACTAGCATAACATATTTAGAAGAAAAAATATACAGAAAAGGATGTGATAAACACAAGGTCTGATAAAAAATATCCTAGAGGAGAAGAACAGCAGACTTGTGCTGACCATGTTGGAGATGCAAAGGCCAGCCACTTTTAATCAGAATTTTAACTAAAGTTGACAAGTCCCCATTTGATCCCTTTACAATGTATCCATACCACAAATTAAACTCTTGGAACACAATTTGGAAGAACTAAAGAAGAATCCCATTAGCACTGAATCACATGGCTAGATTCTCTCTGCAGTCCACAGGTCGTGCAGAAAAATCAGCAAATCCGTGGGTCTTAAGTCTTATCTAATCCTGTGGGCGCCCATTGGTTTTGCAACAATTAAACAAGGATATTTTGGTCAGTACTTCACTACTCGGAACGGATTCAACTAAGCCACACACAACTATATATAAAAAAAAGATCAAAACAAAAGGTAAGGGTTTGCAACAAGACCGAAGAGATAAATAGAATGCAAAAGAATGACTTATTTTTTCATATTTTACAGATGAACCTTATCCGGGACCATGATAATTAAGCCGTTCCATTCAATTCAAAGATGAGGTTGAAGTTGCAGCCACCCAGCTTGCTACTGCAGAAGCTGACTGCACAACTAATGTGCATTTACATAGACTAATACTGACTCACTGAGACCCTGTTTAGATGGGACTAAAACTTTTAAGTCCTTATCACATCGGATATTTGTCACTAATTATAAATATTAAACGTAGACTATTAATAAAACCCATAAATAATCTTGGACTAATTCACGAGACGAATCTATTGAGCCTAATTAATCCATGATTAGCCTTTATAATGCTACAGTAAACATTCTCTAATTATATATTAATTAGGCTTAAAAATTTTGTCTCGCAAATTAGCTTTCATTTATGTAATTAGTTTTGTAAGTAGTCTATATTTAATACTCTAAATTAGTGTCTAAATACAGAGACTAAAGTTAAATCCCTGGATCCAAACACCACCTCAGTCTTATTTCCATAATATCGATTTGACAATAAATTGCGTACAACTTTTTATCTTTCTTCCTCCTTTTCTTTTTTGTTTTTGTTTTCCTTTAAGACGACATTGTTAATTGGCATAATTGCACAACAAGGTTTTGCCCTGCTGAGCAATCAATGTCAGAGTTTTAGCTGTGCCACAGCCCCACAAGGCTCATTTTTGTATATGAGGGTTTTTTATGTCTCTAAAAAGTTTTTTTTAAAAAATCAGCCTATATGAAAGGACTGATTTAGTATAAATGTGAGTTTCATTTTATTTTCTTGTATTTGTGTAAAACAAACTGAAACGTCAAATGGTTTTAGCAAAACAATTTGTCAAATGCTTCATCGTTCTCCTCCTATTGTGTCACCATGTCAAGCTCTTCGCAAAAATGTTAGCCACTTGTGTTCGTTTTGTTTTCCTTTCCATTTTGTATTGCAAGGAGAGTGACTTGCCAATGATTCCTTACTCCTTGGACTCTAGGATATTCTTCTTTTTTAGCAATGAGCATATGGTGTATTGTGTACTACGTAGGGTGTCACACGATATAGCAAACTGGGTTTTCTTTTATTCTTTTACTTGTTTATACATGGGACTATCAACATATGTCATGGCTTGCGTAAGTTCGATATTTTAATGCACATAATTCGAATTAGACTATTAACTTGAGTCCAAAATAATGGAGTGTTGCTTTTGTGCATACAGACAAATAAACTGAATAAAATACAAACGTAGCATGTCCGGTGGAAAGTTCTAAAACTTCTATTATCTTTATGTTCTTTTTATATTTGGATTGGATATTCAAAATGGTTTAATGAAAGGTGTAACATAGTATGTAGGTTAATCAATAATGTACCTAAAATGAAAATTAGTTCAACTTAGCTACTCTTTCCATTCCCAAATATAAACATTTTTGATATTTAAATTTTGTACACGCTCGAGGAATGGTAATTTTTGGTAACGAAGAACAAGCACTATACAATGCAGATCAGTTTGGCAACAAGAAGACTGCATACATTATTTTCCGGAAGAATTATGTATGGTTAAAAGACATGAATATTAAGGAATGACCTAATATCAAATAATTAGATGAAGTTATGCTTCGAACCCAGATTATCTAGCTCACTATCTTGTGTAGCTAGCCAGAAAACCCCTAGGCGTTTCTCGAATTATGTTTGGTTAAGAAATTCATTGGGCTAAGACTGAAAAAAAAGCTTACATTAATTAATAAGACCTCTAAATCTATCTACACCTATATTAATTAGACACTCTGAAAGAGCTTATGTGTTAACCAGAAAGAATTAATTGTTGATTAGGTGGATCGTGCTATCACAACCTAGATAATCTGTGTAATGCATGGGCTGGTGACTTTATGAAATTAAGTCCTAAATTCAACAAAATTGGCTCGGCTCAGAGCAGATACTCGACTTTTCTCGTCCGCTCAGAGGAAAATATTATTCTCTGAAGACGTAATTAACGATGAGTCGATGACTCATCCCTTTGTCATCCAATTAATCATCTAACTGAGTTAATTGATTATCCACTTGTTTTCTTCTCTAACGTACCAAAGCGACATGTATGGTGCTGGATTCTTGATTCCCTGAGTGACCAAAAAAATATCATTTCGTTTCTTGCAAATTCTTTTTGTGCATAATTGAGCGTACCCGACGGGAATGGGGAATTAGATGTTTTAGTGCAAGTCAATTTTAAGACAGATCATTACGAACTAAAGGGATGTTTAATGGTGTGGACGAATTTGGGGTGCTACGTCAGTCGTTTTCTCTACAACACTACAACAGTGTCGTAGTTCATGCTGTCCACTTATCAGCTTGTGGAGGTGGATTCTCCTCCGCTTATTTTGCGATTGCTCAATCAGCAGATCTGGTCATGAGATGCTGCATAGATTATTGGGGAATTTGCAAATTTTTTGATCTTTTTTTTTATTTTACAAGAATGCCATTCGAATGACAATTCCGGTCATAATTTCCTAATGACGATTCAAATCGTGGTAAATTTGCTGTTGCCCCTAGATTATTTGAATCATTTTTGCGGTTTGAGTGAGGAATAATTTTCGGTTTGTGGAAGGTAGAGGTATACTTTGGCATTAATAGGGAGGAATTTAACTATTTACCATTTTTAGGTTTGTTATTTATCCAAATGCCCCTCTTAGGTTTGCGCTTAATTATTTGCTCCCGGAGAGAGATGATTTCTTAACTATTTGCCATTTTTGCCTACGTGATATGCCCGCGTGGAAAGCATCGTAGACCCCACCCGTCATCCCCTCCCCTATCATTCTTCTCCACCTCCGGTCGTCGAGGTCTCCGTGCTGGCGAGCCCCACCCATGGCCACCACCTGGAGCACCCGGATTGGGGAGGCGCACTAGGAGAGACCGTCGAGGTCGAGGAAGAAGGAGAGGGCGCGGGGGTCGATGGTAGTCGTCGGCAGGATCAGATGCGGCGGATGGAGGGCGAGCGGTGGCGATGGTGACGACGGCTCATCCTGATCCTCCCATCGCGAGGACGGGGATCGGATGCAGTGGGTGGAGGGCGAGCGGCGGCGGCGACAACGGCTCGTCCCGCTCCCCCCATTGCGGGGATGGGGATCGGATGCGGCGGGTGGAGGGCGAGCGGCAGCGGCGGCCACGAGCGGCGAGCGACGGTGGAGAAGAAGGATAGGGGAGGGCTGACGAGTGGGGTCCACGATACTTTCCACGCGGGCACGCCACGTAGGCAACAGTGGCAAATAGTTAAGAAATCATCTCTTCAGTGGTAAATTATTAAGCGCAAGCCTAAGAGGAGCATTTAGATAAGTGGCAAACCTAAAAGTGGCAAATAGTTAAATTCCCCTTAACAGGAGGAATTATACTCTTTGAACTAAAAGATATACCTATATAAATATTATGTAGTGACACATATTTGATGACTGATATTGCATTAACAGATAGTTGGGGAGGGAAATGTTCTATCAGAAGATTTGGAAGTAAAGATAATATTCTTTATCATAATACACACAATTTTTACTAATAGGCAGGTACGTGCAAAATTTCCTGGTCTTGAAATAAGTACTGCATCATCAAGCGTGCCACGCAATATCTGCTCCGGTAGGCCAAAATGCCGGTGGCCGTTTCTGTGGCCGCATTAGATTCCCACATGGAAACAAAGCACACATCACAACAAGTGTCACTCACAAGAAATCGTGCAAGATGCATCCAATATATTCCATCACCATCCTCACCTCATCTCCTTCGTCCTTGTTTGCTTCCCTCGCTTCACCTATCAACTTCTTCACCATGCTTCACCTAATCAAATTAGCAGCTACTGGCTTCAGAGTTCTTTTTTTCTTTGAACGAATTAGTCAATGTGATATGATTCTCTAGAAATATCTCGGTTCCGTTTCTTCCATTCTCGCATCCATTTTTTCCTGACGGCCCAATTGTTGATTGTCCAGATTAGTAACAGAGTTTAAAACTTTGTTTCAGAAAAAAAAATCATTTATATATTTTTCTTGCTAGGAAGAAAAGGTATCAAAGTTGTAACATCTCGTGTCCAACATTTGCACTCAATGACTCTTCATGGACTCTTTATGGCTGTGTTAACCTTTGGAGCAGAGGGTTAGGGAGTATTTTACCCAGAAACGTTGATGATTTAGTCTGGGTTCGGCAGCTGTGGATTAGAAGAAAAACTCTTTCGTTGTGTGCGTGCATGCTTCCCAAGCAGTTAAATGGTACGTTTTTCATAAAATATTTATATAGAAAAGTTATTTTAAATAATCATATTAATTTATTTTTTTTAAATTTAAAATAGTTAATACTCAATAATCATGTAGTAATATTTACATTGTTTTGCGTATTCTTCTCGATCTTCTCCTCTCATCTTAAACACAACATATAGTCTATTGTTAACATTCTTTGTACCTTCTTTGATTATAAAATTTATTTGTAAGTATGCCGTATGTTTTGACGTTATGCATCTAACTATGGAGACGTCCAAAGTGTTCTCAGCGTAGTTCTACGATTTTGATATAATTGACTAATTAAAACTTACACTCCATTAAAAGTACAGACATAAGCTGGTGTTTTTGACACGCCCATGTGCACGAGACGTTTTGTTTTAGTCAGGAGAAAAACAATTAAAGAAGATTAATCGGAGGTTAACACACAAGAAAACGTCAGTGCGGCCCCCACGTAAACAGAGCTCCATTGCTTGGGTTTGTGGCTATATAAAGCAGCTTCTCCTCCTCCATTTCTCCATCCATCCAGTGTGAGCTCCGTTTCTTGCTCCATCCATCTATCCATCCAAGGAGTGTGGAACGCCACACGTATTTTTTTTTTATCTATGCTAATCTGATCATTAGCAGAGGAGAGTTTTAGCAGTAGGATTGGATTAAATTGGAGTAGTTTCATAGTTTGTGTGTAGTGATCTTAATTAGCTTTGATTAGACAGACAGTACAGTAGAGTAGAGGATGTTGGCTGTGTTCAGCGGCGCGGTGGTGGAGGTGCCGGCGGAGCTGGTGGCCGCCGGCAGCCGGACGCCGTCGCCCAAGACGCGGGCGTCGGAGCTGGTCGGCCGCTTCCTCGCCGCCGCCGAGCCGGCCGTGTCCCTGCAGCTCGGCGACCTTGGCCACCTCGCCTACTCCCACGCCAACCAATCCCTCCTCCGCCCAAGGTATACTAGCTGCTGCTTCTACTCTGCTTCAGCTGAAATTGCTGAAAAAACATCTGCCGTTTTCTTTACCCTGAACTCCCCAAGTCCTGGATTTCACGAGATCTAGCTAAGAACAGAGCCAAGAATTGATTGCTCTCTGTGGCTAGATCAGTTAACTGTTCATCCTGAGAGGCTGAGACAGAGTCATTTACTCTGAATTTGTTCTTCAGTTAGTGTCTCGGTGAAGTCTCATGGTGATGAGATTTAATAGTTAGTCTCTGCAAGAAGACAATCTAAGTTGGTGGTTGAGATAAGCTTTTGCAAGTTGCAACAGGCTCACTGTTCTTGGCAACACTAGTCACTGCGTGGTGGGCGACAGCTTTTCATCCAAGGGGAAAAAAAAATCTGAGGACATGTTGCTGAAATGATTTTTTGTGCCCACCTGAAATGGTTTGAGTGATGAGGTGGGCTCTCCTAGTACCATAGGTCATGTGGACATGTCTCACAACTCACAAGATCTGACAAAAAAAAATTCTCAGGTTTGGTAAAAACATATGCTTAAAATGAATTATCGATCTGAAAAACAAGTTTATGTACAGTAACTTAAACTGTTATTTTACATAATAAACTGGTTTCTTCAATAACTTAAGCCTGGTTTTTTGGTTGTGGCTTGAGTCAATAATTGGAGAGGTACAAAGGCTTTTTGCTTTCGGAAGACAGAGTAATAGATACAACTCTCTAATCCATTTCTGTAGGTGAGGAGGCAAGGCTACCAAACCTCCTCCTTCATCTATAGTTTTTTGTTTTATCTATAGACCACACGACTGAGATCATCGGGATTTTACTGATAATTAGGTGATTAACTATGGCATACGTTTATTTATTTCAGAAGGTAGAAAGCTAATCGAACAAGAAAATGGACGAAAAGGAACTGTCAAAGAGGTGTAGTTTGCCATGCTGCTATGGTACCTAGATCTCTTTACGGTCAAATGATTGGTGCTTCCATAGGAAAAACAAGAGGAGAACAAGACAGGAAAGAAAGTTAAATCAATGTTTACATGAACATTGCCACATATATTTCGATGAAAGAAGGCCACCGCATCACCTTTTGTTATTTTGCATGTCCACATCAAGCCACCTTCCACAGATACAAAGGTTTCAATTGACTTCACAACAAACGGGCCTCATATTCTTCATCAGGCGGCTAATGATTGGACTAATTATAGTTTTAAGAAAATGGACAAACCTGTTTTGTCAAGCCTATTTCTTAATTATAAAAACTTAAAAAGGATAAACATGACAGTATTTGGCAAGCTACTAGGTTGCTTTTAAAAACCTCTTTGTTTATGCCTTTCCTTTAGTTGTTGTGCCATTCACATGGCTTAGTTCATAGTAGGAGTGTAGGACACTTAGCACTTGGTGGCTACTGCTTACCAGAAGACTCTATCCGGTTTTGATACCCACAGATCTGAAAGAAAGGAAAGCTGAACAAGGGGGCCATGCTGTCAATTCAGCACTATGATTTGTGGGGCCTGATTACCCTTTTTTCATATCTTATCTAGTACTACTAGGCAGATTCACTGAAGAAGTATCATCCAAGGAATTCCACTCCTTTACTCCATTCATTATACCAGTACAAAATATATGCTTCCTTTTCAGCAAGTTTAGGTATCTAATTCTTGATGTTAGGTGCATCTTGCATTAAGTCATAGATGTTCCACCTAATTTTGCATTCTGCACTGAAGTACCATGTCCTTCAGGCATTCAAGAATGGCTGAACTGATAACACCAAACATACTAATTTTCTTAAATTTTGTTGTGGATGCCAGTTTTTTTTTATCATAGGGTTGGAAAGCATCTATAATTTTACAGCTGCTCACTGAGAACATACAACTGCATTTGTGCAGATCCTTTGCATCAAAAGATGACATTTTCTGCCTGTTTGAGGGAGTCCTGGACAATCTGGGCAGGCTGAGCCAGCAGTATGGCCTGTCCAAGGGCGCCAATGAGGTGCTCCTGGTTATCGAGGCGTACAAGACGCTGAGAGACAGAGCACCTTACCCTGCTAGCTTCATGCTCTCGCAGCTCACCGGCAGCTACGCCTTTGTGCTCTTCGACAAGTCCACCTCTTCTCTCCTTGTGGCCTCTGTGAGTTCTTCATCTCGAGGCAACCGACAGTTACATGCTGTTGCTCAAACACTTGCATTGACAGTGCTTGGTGATTTGGTTGGTTTAGCTTACTGATTATGACGTGATCTTGTGCTGGCAATTGTTGTCTCAGGATCCAGAGGGCAAGGTGCCTCTGTTCTGGGGGATAACTGCTGATGGATCTGTTGCCTTCTCTAACGACATTGACCTGCTTAAAGGATCATGTGGCAAGTCACTTGCACCTTTCCCACAAGGTAATGTTTGAATCATAGTCCTTTTATGTTGCCAATCATTGCAAATGACATTTAAAATGGGGCATTTAGTATAAAATTGTGGGTCAGTTGAATCTTCACTGCTCAAATATGTGCAAAGAGCCATTTTTGGTTATGCTCACTAATTACATGCATTCTGACTGCAGGTTGCTTCTATTCCAATGCTCTTGGAGGCTTGAAGTGCTATGAGAACCCAAAGAACAAGGTGACTGCTGTTCCTGCAAATGAAGAAGAGATCTGTGGTGCAACCTTCAAGGTAAAAAGGAAATTGATTTCTTGCCAAGAATATAATGTTGAGGGAAACTATTTTGATCCCTCGAGGGGATCCTAATTAACTTGACTCAATAAAACAGAACTCCTTTTTTCATCATTTGCATTTGATCTGAACTCATTCGACCTTTCTGGATGCATTGCTAGGTTGAGAGCGCCACTGCAATCCTCACAGCTCTGCACTAGGATGATGTTTCGGTGTCCGGTCGTTGTACATGGTGGTGGTGTAACATAGTTGCAACTGATCTGTATCATCTTTTCATAAAAGAGAAGTACTGCCTGCATGGCAAGTGCTTCAGTGTTCTGGGTGTGTAGTATGATCTCTGTACCTTTGTTGTTCAAGCAGGAATGAACTCCAGGCCGGCTGTGATCAGTTGAATGTAGTTCTGTTGCAAATAACCTGTCCTTGTCAGTTGTTACTATGGATGTCTGTTTGATGTAGTGATGTTGTAGATCACTGCATTTCATGAACTTTGGTCAACTAGTAGCAAGAACAGAGTGCAGAAATAAGCAATGTTCAGAGTAGAGGTGGCCAAACGGGCCGGGCCAAACGGGCGGCCCGGGGCACGGCCGAACCTGTAGCAGGCACGGCCCGGCACGGCCTGCTACAGTAACGGGCCGTGCCGGCACGGCACGAGTAGCCGTGCCGTGCTTGGGCCGCTGGCCGAGCCCGCGGGCCGGCACGGCACGGCACGGCTACTGTAGCGGCACGGCACGGCCCGCGGCACGGCACGGCCCGTTTCGCCGGCGGCCCGTCAGGCCGAAAGCGGGCCAGCGGCGCACGCGCCAGGCCGAAAGCAGGGACAGGGCGGGCGGCGGTCGAATGGGAAGGCGCCACGTGGCACTAACGGCTATTTGACCGTTCAAATTTGAAAATAACCGTTGGGAGGCTAAAAAATTCATAAAAATTTCGAAAAAATTCCAAAAAAATCTCAAATTTCGCCCTATAAATAGGGCATGAACCCCAGCCATTTCTCCTCATCCCACACTCCTCATCTTGTGCTCTCAAGTGTTTTAAGTGCTCTCTTTGTTCTCAAGTGTGCATTTTTTTTTATTTTGACAAAATTTGCTCAAATTTTGTCAAAAATCAAAATTAGTTTCGTAGTTCAACAGTTTGATCGCAGAGGTTTGAAGAGCTCGCGGTTGGAAAGATGTAAGTAATATTCAAATTTGTGTATTATTTGTATTGTGTTTGTGAATTCAATAAATATTCGAAAATTTGTTTATGTCGGTTTAAATTTTCATAATGGATCCGAACTTTCCATACCAGTCGCCGTCGTTCACCTTGGGTGATTTCGACCCCAACTACATGTCGAGGTTTGACGATACCTCCGGATCGGCTCCAACTCCACCATCTGTGGAGGAGGTACCGGTTCATACGGCTGTCGTTGAGGAGGTACCGGTTCAGGCGGCGACAGCTTCGGAAGGATTTTCCGGAACCGCGAGCGGAAGTGTTTCGACACACACCGGCTCGAAGAGATCGAGAACCTCCGGTGTGTGGCAAAACTTCGACGAGATAAAGGAAACATGCCCCGACGGAAGGGAGGTATCGAAAGCCCGTTGTAGAATATGTAGGCAAATTTTATCTGCTCGTTCTTCTGGTGGTACAGGTCACCTCAAGCGCCATGCGGAGTCGTGTGCCAAGAAGCAAGGAATACAACTCCGGCAGCAGCAACTTATGGTAAACCCAGACGGTACGGTACGCAGTTGGGAGTACGATCCCATGGTTGCTCGGGAATCTCTTGTCCGGTTAATCGCCAGGCAAGATTTACCCCTGAACTTTGGGGAGTCCCCTGCTTTTGAACATTACATTCAGCAATCTCATAACCCTAGGTTTAAAGCTGTGAGTAGGCAAACATCAACTAGAGATTTAGAGAATGTTTATCACAAGGAAGCAACTGCACTTAAGGAACTGTTTAGTACATGTACTTTCTCTGTTAGTGTTACTTCAGATATATGGAGTAGTAGAGCTAGAGAGGATTATCTTAGCGTAGTTGTTCATTTTGTTGATGATGATTGGCAATTACAAAAGAGAGTTTTAGGGCTTAGGTTAATAGATGTCTCACATATAGAAGAAAACATAGCTGAAAGAATTAGGGAAGTAATTAATGAATTTAATCTTGCTGATAAAATATTTGCTGTCACCCTAGATAATGCATCTGCTAATTCTAGGGCTATTGAAATATTGCAACCTTTATTTTGTGTGTATGCTCAATCTTTTCTACTCCATCAGCGTTGTGCATGTCATATAATTAATTTGATTGTTAAGACTGGCATGAAGAGGGTAGGTGACCACATCGATGCTGTTCGTCAAGCAATCGCGTGGTTAACTGCTTCTAACCCGCGGATTGCTGCATGGAAGAGGTTTTGCAATGCGGCCGGTGTGAAAGCTCGTAAGTTTGCCACCGATGCAGAGCATCGGTGGAATGCAACGTATTTAATGTTAAAAGTTGTTTTACCTTATAGTAGTTTACTTTCTGATTTTGTTCAGTCACGTGGTGGCCCAAGAAACAGTGACGGGTCTTCAGTACTGAACGAGCATGTTTGGGCAATTGTCCAAAAATTTCACCAATTTCTAGAAACTTTTTATGATTGTACTCTAACTTTGTCACAAGTTTATTATCCAACTGCTAATATAATTTTGCACAACCTTCTTGAAATTGCTACTTTATTTAAAGAATACGAAAATGATGACGTTCTAACTGAACCTGTCTTTCACATGAAACAAAAATATTTGAAATATTGGAAAAATATACCTATGTTGTATGCTTTTGCTTTTGTTTTAGATCCTAGGTGTAAATTAAGGGGATTATCTGCTATTTTATCACTTGTTGGAGATACTATAGGTGTAGATTATAGTTCTTTTTATACTGAGGTTAGACGTAAATTATATGAGGTTTTTGGAAGATATGAAGTAAAGTTTCAGGAAGTTCGCCAGCAGAGACCCCCTCCTATCCCCACTACAGGTAAGAAGAAGATACAGTGGGGTAGGATTTGGGGTGGATCGTCTTCAATCCAAGGTGGTGGCAGTTCGTCGGCTACAAGTGGAGACGCCTCTTCGCATGTTGTGGCCGAAGAGTTGTCCGGTTATTTGGACAGCGACGCCATCCACCACGAAGCACAAGATTTCAACGTCCTCGGGTGGTGGAATGACCACAAGATAACATATCCTGTGCTTTCAAAACTAGCACGGGATGTGTTGACGGTGCCCGTGTCGACGGTGTCCTCCGAATCGGCCTTCAGTCTATGCGGCCGAATCATCGAAGACCGGAGGACGACTCTGCGCAGCGACCACGTCGAAATGCTACTAAGCGTTAAAGACTGGGAGCTTGCTCGACAACATGCCCAATACACTGCGGACAACCAAGAATTGGCCGCCCAGTTCGAGCAACTCTACCTGGATCCAGACCAACCCCAGTAGAATTTTGTTAGAAGTAGTTCTGACCTTTGAGCTGTACTCTTTTCTTTGTCATGGTTTTCTCATTTTCCCCTATGAGTTTTTACATGACAAAGTTTTTAACGAGGCAGCATGTATCATTGTATCCTGTAATGATATAAACATCAATAAAGGTCATTACTATTTTTAACAAATTCTTTTGCAATATTTTCGCAAGTGTGGATTTATCTTTAAATTATTTCAAAATAATAAATCACAATCTATATTTTTAAATTTTTCAACACAACAAAAAAATACCATTTTTTCTTTTTTTTAACATTAGCAAATCATTACTTTTTTAAAAAACTTTTATTTCCATTTTTTAAATACCATTTTTTAACATTAGTAAATCATTACTTTTTTTTAAACATTTTATTTCCATTTTTAATTTTTTTTCCTTATACATTTCCTTTGCTTTTTTTTTAAAAAAAAACACTGTGCACTGGCGGCCTGGCGGCTGGCGGCCTGGCGGCCTGGCGGCCAGTGCAGCTCAGCTGCCGGCCTGCCTTCACGGGCCGCCGTGCCCCGAACGGCCCGTGGGCCGCAGGCGTGCCGTGCCGGCACGGGCACGGCCCGGCCATCCACGGGCCGTGCTTGGGCCGGCGGCTCGGCACGTGGGCCGGCACGGCACGGCCCGTTTCATCAGCCGTGCCTAACGGGCCGTGCCGAAACGGGCCGTGCCGGACCCGTGCCCGTGCCGGGCCGGGCCGTGCCGCCCGTTTGGACACCTATAGTTCAGAGTAGAGTTCTAAATTCTGATTGTGAAGTCTGAACCTTCTGTTCCTTCCTTGCTCCTCTATTTGCTTCCTTTTGTATATAACCTCTCCTTATCAGTTGTTACTTTGATTGTGTGTTTGATGTCTTGATGTTGTAGATCACCGCATTTCATCAACTTTGCTCAGCTAGTAGCAAGAACAAAAGTGCAGAAACAAGCAATGTTCAGAGAGAGTTATTCTGATTGTGGAATCTGAACCACCTGTTCTTTCCTTCTGCTTATATTTGGTTCAGTAAATCGGTAAACAAGGTCTGATTCAGTTTGAGACACTGGATGACTGGAATCGGGAGCTAGCAAGCTGGAGCTGGATGCACGTCTTGGGACATGATATCCGTATGAAGAAATTGCCTTGGATGTGATCGATCGATAGACCACCTGCTCTTTCTCAAAAATCAAAATTTCTGCTTCATATATTCGTCGCTGGCATCCGCAGCTTGCACCATATACTGTGCTCGCCTCTGTCCGCTTGATTGTTCAACCGCACGTTCTCGATCGGACGGTTCCCGTGTTGGGGGGGGGGGGATCCAACGTAAGTGCAAGGGGGACTCGAGTCCCCCCTACACCCACAAAACCCATGGATACCCTCCGGAGCACCCCCTTCAATTTTTTCATCATAAATAATAAACTAAAGGTCTCTAGATGACTGGAGGTTGAAAAAACTGTGTAATTGAGTCCCCCCAATTTTTTTGTTCCTAGATCCGCCCCGGGGGGGGGGGGCTAATGCGCGACACGCGACTACCTGCTACTATGTACTGTACTAGTCTATTACTAGTAGTACTACTACTACACTCCTATTACTAATACTACTACTATAATACTACTACTACATTATGGTTATGATACTACTAATATTACTACTATAATATATTTTTGATGTATAAAAAATATACACATATACAAACTTTATATACGTACGTATACAAAGTTCGTATATGTGACGTATATAAAGTTTGCATGCACGTACACAAGGTTTGTATGCACGTCTATAAAGTTTGCATGCACGTATACAAACTTTTTATAGATATACGTAAATGCTAAAAAATCGAAAAGAAAAAAAACGGAAAGAAAAAAACTGGAAAGAAAACCGTAAAAAACTGAAAAGAAAAAAGTAAAAACAGAAAAAAAAAACAACGGGAAAAACCGTGCGCCCCACCCCTACGCATGCCCGCGCGCGCCACATGCCTCGCCGCGGGGGAGGGGGGGTGGTGG